AGAGTGATTAAGACCTTCCTTCATTGAATTTTTATCCTCAACTTTAAATCATTCGAAATAAATTTATATCCTAATTATTTTATCTAAAATAGTGATTGTTTTCTGAGAGTTCCATCATGCATGGCCTTGAAAATCTCCCTTTCTGTTTTTGAATCTAAAGTGTTTGTAAAAATGCCAGATCATAAGAGATAAAGGTAGATACTTGTATCACACCACTGGAAATCTCCTTGGCTTGGGATGTGTTCCAATCACAATGACTCACTCAACAATGTTAACAACTAGCCCAAGGTTTTTCTCTTAAGAATTCATTTCCTCCTGCATGACTCCATACACAGATGACACTGTGAGAAGCATCAAGTGGGACACTCAGGGATGTCATTCATTATTCATAATGTTTCTTGTCTGTTTCAGCTCTTCAGACAGTGCAAAACAACCCAGCTAAGCCTGAATTCCCAGGACCAGAAGGGAGCCTCAAGCTTTGTCCCCCAGAAAGAGCTGAAAGGATATGGAGAGAAAAGTCAACAGAGGTGCCATGATCAGAACACAAGGATCTGGGTGAAAGATACACTGGAGGCCATTCTCAAGTGCACTGGCACTTTCTTACAGCCAATTTCTTTGAGAGGTTTTAGAAAAATCGTCCTACTACTTCCCTTACATAAAGAATTTCTATCTGTTAGAATCCCAGCTTATGTATAGAGTTCCAAGTTTGGTACAATTCCCTGAGTAAATAACTGTAATAAACACAATAATGGCATCCATTGAATGTTTAATATGAATCAGACACTATTCTAAGTATGTTGCGTATAACAACACCTTGATCCCTCAAAATAACCAATTTTAGAGATCAGGAAATTGAGGCATGGATATTTAAATATTTTGGCAAAATTGAGGAGTCAGTTTTAAAATTTTATCATTCTGATTTCAAAGACTGTTCATCTCTCACAATCCTACCTCTCAAAAATAATTAAATCAAGGGCTCAGCTATCATCTGGGTATTTGCAAACATTATTCTAACTCCAATAGTAAGATTCATTCTCCCTCCCTGTTTTTATCTATGGTTCATAAGATTTGGTTTCTAGATAGGACTAAGGGAGGAGAAGGGATGTATACCTTCAAGATGAATATTTAATTAAAGAGAACAAGACTGTTTATCCAATCTGCATTTCCTACAGATTTACCCAATAATGGAAAGATCAACTCGCACACGTCTTGCCCTCATTATCTGCAACACAGAGTTTGACAATCTTTCTAGGAGAGATGGAGCTGATGCTGATATCAGAGGTATGAGGATGCTATTAGAAAGTCTGGGATACACCGTGGATGTAAAAGAAAATCTCACTGCTCAGGTAAGGTCTATCACAGTGTAGAGATAACGGACACACCCTTCATGTTCCTAAAAAATGTTTGGTTGTAACACCAGACACAATGGTCATGCCCTTTATGCTCCTAAAGAATGTTTGGTTGTAGCACCAGAAACATAATCTCTTAATTGTCTAAAATTTAAATATGCCCTTGGAGAGTGCTTAATGCTACAAAGATCCCTTCAAACATAGAATCTTTTAGCAAGAGTCTGGTGGAACTTTTTTGGAAAGTGTTCTAGTAACTCAGTAATACTCCCTTTCTCCCTATTAGAAATCCCTGAATGGCATCCCATTTCCCTATATAACCTTTCTTTGAATTGAAACTTAGATTTCCTTTGTATCCCAGTGATTTTTGTATCATCTAGGGATCCCTTAAGTGCTACTTTATTGAATTCCCAAGATGTCATGATAATGATTCTCATAGTCCAAAATCAATGGTATGGTCTCTTCCAGGAAATGACTAAAGAGCTGGAGGCATTTGCTGCCCGCAAGGAGCACAAGACCTCTGACAGTACTTTCGTGGTGTTCATGTCTCATGGTATTCGGGATGGCATTTGTGGAAAGGAATACTCTGGAAATGTCACAGAAGTATTACAAATCAACACCATCTTTCAAACTTTGAACACCTTGAAATGTCCAAGTTTGAAGGACAAACCCAAGGTGATCATTATCCAAGCCTGCCGTGGTGGTGAGTGTTAATGTCTGTTAGAACACATGATATACAAGTATTGACCTCATCATTTATATGCATCCAGTATTTCCCATTTTTTGTGTGTCTGCTCCTTAACGTCAATGATCATGTACTGTCACCAAATAAGGTTTTAGTGTCTGTGAGATGCATGAATAATTGGTAGATATTTGTTTCATTTTCAACTAAAGGGGTACAATTTTTAGTCTTAAGACTTTGATGTTTTGATATTGTTCGAATTCATCTGAAGGTCAGTAGAGTTAAGATTTGTTAAAAATGTAGTTCCTTGGATGTATGTGCATATATGCATGTGAATGAAAAATAGAAACAAATAAATGAGTAACTATGGTTAAACAGAGCTCTGGGGAGAAAGTAGTTCTCTTGGCTGTTGGTAGTAACAAGAAATCATGTCTTGTCTTTTCAGGGAACCAAGGGATGGTGTGGTTACAAGATTCAGTAAAAGCTTTTGAAGACAGCTCCGCCCAAACTCCAGAAGATTTGGAGTGTGATGCCATTAAGAGAGCCCATATAGAGAAGGATTTTATTGCTTTCTGTTCTTCAACACCAGGTAATGAGTGCCTGTGTAGGGCTTCTTTGTGGATATCACCAATGCAGAAATTCACACGCACCCACTAGAGTATGGATATCTGTTGAACTTTCCATGAGACTTCTGAAGAATGACTCAAGTATTCCTTCCAGTTACACCTTCAATTCCCCTGATCCACAGAGAGCATAAATGGATATACTTTCACTAAATTAGTAAGTAGTGAACTCCTGTGGTGCAAAATATTTTCTTGGAACTGTGAGGGATAAAAAGAAGAGTATCTACACTGAAGTAAATGAGAATCTGATTCCACATAGAAAAGGGGTAGGGAGAGACAGAAAAGCTGATGAAGCATATTAAGTTAAAATGGATTCAGCTAGAAGTATGGAATAGATAAAAAGGAAGAAACTTTAATGATTTATAAATCTAGGCTATGGATTAAGAATACTGCCAATTATATTATGACTCTTCCATTTAGTGCTTCGTAAACCAGTTCCAGTTATTTAGCCTCTCTGGGCTTTCTTTGAATTCCTTACTAATATATGTGAATATAAATATTCTTCTTAGGATTAAATAAGATAACTTATGTGAAATATTGAGCATGGCACAGAGTAAAACAAATAATTGCTATTATTAAACATGTTTCTATTTGTAACTTAGCTCATGTTTTATCTTAAGTTTCTTTCTATCTCAAGGTTTAAACAAAAGTCATTTCAATTCTTTTATCCACTGTTTTGAAATTTCTTGGGCATTCACATTCTTAGGACTACTTATGGCCTTAAGGCCTTGCCTCTGCTCAAATAGTTAAATTTACAGATTAAATTATTTTCTATAATGAAGTACCATCTCTAAGGAGATAATCTGGCTCTGCATTATGTTGACCATGTCATAATGTAGAAATCAATTATTTTTTTTCTAGGCAATAAAACACACATGCACACACAATTACAGCTTGAAGGTATTTATTGGGTTGTCAGAAAAGTCATGATGTATTTTTTTCTGTTTTTCATTGCAAAAATGCGTCATGACTTTTCTGACAACCTAATAGTAGACTTTAGTATTAGACATCACTATTCTTTAAAATCCTTGGATCCCAGCATTCCACAAGAGAATTACTGCTGACTATATGTCCTTTATAGGCTTTTGGCTTCTCAACATCCATCTTGCTGATTTCTTTCTCCCTTTTTTCACTTTTCTCACCCCCTCCTTTCCAGATGACTCAAAAACTCCAATTCAGTAATCTTCAGCTAGTCATTTTCCACTAAACCTAGCTCCACATTCTCTGGCATTAATCCTAACTACCTTGTAGTGTTCTCCTGAAAAAAATGTGTCCATTCACTCACTTAAATTCACATAAGGCTTTGAGAGATATCTGTCTTCAACCTTTCTCCCATCCCCTTTCTTTAACTGGAACCAGCCCCATAAAACAGCTGTGGTTTTAAAGAGAATTTTAATCAATTATTATTATAATATATTTTATTACCATTGTTATTGGCTAAAAGGTTTGGTTAAAGCATGTGTCTTTGGTATATACATAGCTACACACCACTTTTCCCTTATATATTTCTTTGCATAATTTTAAAATGGCTTCATGATTTCTATGTCTCTACTATTTTATATAATTAATATCATTCTTCTTCAGTAATTATCCTCTGTAAGACTGTTTTGTTCTCCAGTAGAATATGATCTTTCTCTCTTAAGCCTAAACCTAGGTTTGTATTTTGTTTATATTGGTACCATTTTCATATTTAGTTTTCTTTGTCCAAGTACCTTATGATCAACATTATTTGATTTTAATTAAATTATTTATAAAATAGATATTTGAAATGTTATTGACAAGGTTACCCCATGTAGACTGAGTGTTACATAGCCTATATTCTACCAGACACTTATAATACATTACAGCCAGTCTTCAAATATCTTTTTATGGCAGAAATTATTACTTTACCCTTTGTAGTCAAGGCCATTGCACCTCAGAGTTTATAATTAACTTAAATCAGAATCAGTAAACAGCACTCTTGGGATCCATGCTCAGATATTTCTTCCCCAAAGCCCAATCACTGTCCTCTATTCCACTCTGCCTTTTCCTCCCTCTCTACTAGATTTGTAGTTCCTTGGACTCAAAGACTATGCCACCCTAACATCTACACCATATATATGGTATCCTTCATATGACATTAACAATTGTTGAATATCAGTAAAAGTATACTCACTGAAAGTTGAATATATTCACTAAATAATGGCATACAGAGTGTAGAAAACAGCACAAACTCAACAGACTTCCTCACTTGGAGTGGAAATTCTAGCACTCAGTCTCTCTGGACAGGCAAAAGTTTCGCATGACATTTGAAATGTGCTTTATTCACAGATAATGTTTCTTGGAGACATCCCACACGGGGCTCTCTTTTTATTATGAAACTCATTGAACATTTGAAAGAATATGCCTGGTCCTGTGACCTAGAGGAAATTTTCCGAAAGGTAGGGCCCTAAATGTTTTTCACACTCTACTTTCCCTGGGTATTTGACTATTCCACTTTGAAACCTAGAGAGCAGCTCTGGTCATGCTTATCTTTTAGAAATGCCCTTCTTTCCAAATGATCTTTGAAAAGCTGAAAGCCTCATCCAACCTTCTATAATCTAGAAATCAACCCCAAGAAAATACTAATTTTTTTTAACTCCCCTATAGCCCAAGTGGATTTGCCTGTATCCATAGCTATTAGATCCAGCATCAGATTTAAAAAGCATGGTTATTCCATACTTAGTTATGCATATTGCTATGATTCTTACAGATACATAAACTTTTTGTGTTTATGATATATTTTCCTATATTTTTTTTGGAATTTTCCAGCTTAAGTGAAGATTCTTCCACTCAGAAAAAAATACAGACTTTCTTTCCCCTTTAGGTCCGATTTTCATTTGACTTACCAGATTGTAAGGCACAGATACAGATGCCCACTGCTGAAAGAGTGACACTGACAAAATGTTTCTACCTCTTTCCAGGACATTAAAATAAGTAAGTTGTATCAGTGCCTATGGACAGGTGTGTGTGTGTGAATGGTGGGCAAGAGTGCTGAAACTTCATCCTAGTCAAGGTCTCAAGGTCTAGTATAATAAATACTAAAAAGTTGCCTTTCAGCTGGTTCAGTGCAGAGCACATTGCTCTTCTCCCAAAGTTCAGTGAGTTAGATGGCCCTTTTTCAGGGTCAGCTGATACAAATTGAGATGTGGCCATAAGATGATGAAAGTCTGGTTTTAGATGTTCCTCCCTTTCACTCAACAGGATAATATTTAGATGTATTAGGTTGGTACAAATGTAATTGTGGTTTCGGACCATGAATTTTAAATCATTATAACTAGGCTCAAACACATTTTATTAGTCAAAATAGGAACCATTGCAATCAACATATTTTTGCCAACAAGAAATAAGTTTGTTTATTCCTGTAGCATAAAAATCTGTGCTTTGGGATTTGACAAACTCTTAGAAAGCATTTTCTGCATTCTGCTGTCTGTGGAAGTGTTTTCCCTGCACAAAATTATCAAGATGCTTGAAGAAGTGGTAGTTGGTTGGCGAGAGGTCAGGTGAATATGGTGGGTGAGGTAAAACTTTGTAGCCCAATTCATTCAACTTATAAAGCATTGGTTGTGCGACGTGCGGTCCAGCATAGTCGTGGAGAAGAATTGGGCCCTTTCTGTTGACCAATGCCAGCTTCAGGCATTGCAGTTTTTGGTGCATCTCATCGATTTGCTGAGCATACTTCTCAGATGTAATGGTTTTGCCGGGATTCAGAAAGCTATAGTGGATCAGACAGGCAGCATCACACCAAACAGTGACCATAACATTTTATTGGTGCAAGTTTGGCTTTGGGAAGTGCTTTGGAGCTTCTTGTAGGTCCGACCACTGAACTGGTCATTGCCAATTGTCGTATAAAATCCACTTTTCATCGCACATCACAATCCAATCGAGAAATGGTTCATTGTTGCATAGAATAAAGAAGATGACACTTCAAAACGACAATTTGTTTGATTTGCAGTCAGCTCATGAGGACCCACTTATCGAGCTTTTTCACCTTTCCAATTTGCTTCAAACGTCGAACGACCATAGAATGATCAACGTTGAGTTCTTTGTCAACTTCTTGTGTAGTTGTAATAGGACCAGCTTCAATGATCACTCTTATTTTATTTTATTTTTTTTTAGCTGAGCCATCCTGCTACCTATTGGCAGCTTAGCAGCAGCTCAGCTCAGGCCAGGCATCGAACCACTGTTGCTCAGAGCTCAAACTCTTGAGCGAGCTCTTAACTAACTGAGACACTCAACTGGCCCTCAATGATCACTCTTAATTGGTCATTGTCAGCTTCTGCTGGCCTGCCACTACACGCTTCATCTTCAAGGCTCTCATCCCCTTCGCAAAACTTCTTGAACCACCACTGCACTGTACATTTGTTAGCAGTTCCTGGGCCAAATGTGTTGTTAATGTTGCGAGTTGTCTCCGCTGCTTTACGACCCATTTTATACTCAAGTAAGAAAATCACTCAATGACTCAAGGCAGCCTAGAGGCAGCCCAGCTCCAGGTTGAGCTGTTGTTCAGCATCTTAGCTGTAGAAGGCAGTGTCACTAGCCCTCATATGTAGGATCCAAACCGGGCCCTCTGGCATCCCAAGCCAGCTCTTAACCAATGCGCCACTCAGCTGTCAGGTTGCCATGGGCTACCATGTGTAGCCAGCAGCCAGCGTGAGCAGCCAGCAGCCTCTGTGAGCGGCATTCCAGAAGCCGGGCACTGATCTGCCTCACCTGGGAAGAGCGCAATGATGGTGCCAACTTGGGCCAGTGAAGCAACGTCCTCCATAACTAGACTGAAGAACAAAAAAGGACAGCAACTTGTCTGTTCCCCTTCCCCCAATTCCCCAATAAAAATCTAAAAAAAAAAAAAAGAAAATCGCTCAAATTTGCTTTTTGTCTAACATAATTTTCATAGTCTAAAACACATATAAAATAAACAGCAAATAAGTCATTAGCAAAACAATAAAATAAAATAAAATAAAGCAAGAAATGGGCATTAAAATGATGTATAACATAACCACATTTATTTAAGAATGTATTCCAATATCAAAAGCAAATTTCAACAATGCAAAAACTGCAATTACATTTGCACTAACCTAATAGCACGGGCTCTTTCTTTTTATGAGTATGTCCCCATAAATAGAGTAATTTTTTAACTTGCATTTCTTTTGGCAGAACTCTTTTTTTATATTTGTTTTATTTCCTTTTCCTGTAGGAAGCCAGGAGCTTTGTCATTCTGCACCTGTGTTTGGAATCATGTCTGCAAAACACACATTTCTTGAGCCATTCCAATAAATCTGAAATAAAAATGAAAGGTTGTCATGGGTGTTTTTTCACTCTGAGAAGACAGAAGGTGGAATTTGGAGTGGGCAATGGATTTAGAGTCTTTAAACTTGATCGGCAAGCTGAACTGCCTAATAGCACCATTCTTTCTTTCTAGAAACCTTTTTGCTGAGTTTTTTGCTTTAGGGATATAGATGCAAATCACACTAGGTACCTTACTTCAAAGAATTTGGAACTCAGCAAGAGAGATGCAGAGAAGGCAAACAGTGTGACTAACAAAGCCTTGACCAGAAATTACATATTTCTATCATTCCTTAAGGTATTTCAGGGATGCAAAGTAATTTCCGTTCAAGCCCAGGCAAGTAGTAGTTACAGTCTTATTGAGAAGACAATTAGTTAGTCAACAAACATGACACAATTAGCTGACAATACATGACATTCTGTGAATAAGTTCTAGGGCTTATTATACACAAAGTAATATCCCTGTGTGGTGCGGTGCTCATGAGTTTGGGGTGAAATCCTCCACTCAGCAGTGGTAAGGCTTAGGAAAGGTTAGAAGTACTACTACCCTTTCATTTGCAAGTATGAGCACTTTTTAATCCTAACCCATTAGCAGTAAAGGTGAATTTCTGACCTTTCGAACACCCTCAAAATTGAACATATTACAGTCTCCCCTCTCTGCCCCCCACTAACTGTTTCTTGGGACATATCTCTTTTGTACTATCATAAATTTGTTCTACTATAGCTTGAGACTGCTTCTATGGTCACTCGTTGTTCGGAGAATATCAAAAGAAGGAAGTGAGAAGTCATCCTCAGTAAAAATTAAACGTGAAGGCAGAAAAGCAGGAGGGGAGTGGAGATGAGAATTCCTTCAGAATTTATCTTCCATAAAGGATTAAAATAACAGGGAGATAGGTAGGGGATGATACCAACACAGTTGAAAGAGGTAGCAGAAGCTATTTTGGGTAATTCTTATCCAGAAATGAAAGGAGACTTACCTGTTAGTTTTAATTCCTTCATCATTTTTAAGTAAGCAAAGGAGAAATACTGAGAGATCAGAAGGAGAAAGACAGACAGAGAGAAGGGGTTGTGGGGGCAATGAAGTGAGAGAGGGAAAAAGCAGTCAGGAGTGCCAACTCATAAGACAATGTTTTAGCACATCCACTTTTTTTTTTTTCCAAAGGAAGAAACAGTTTTTCTCAAAACTGGGAAATCCATTTACGGACTACAGGGGATTTCCCAACAATGAACCCAGAAGTTCCAAGTTCTAAGCAGCAGTTTCCCAATCTATGATTACATGACCCCACCTTCTGTGCTAAGGAAATGTCCAGTTACTTTCATTTTCAAGCCAGTGGCTCTCCAAGACAGCAGGAAGGGACTGAGGCTGTTACCAATGGCTGGTGAGTACGGGTCCTTTTCTGACTAGGGGTCAGGGACTTGGGTCTTAGGAAACCATTTATTCATTGCTCTGTGACAAGCAGAAACAAAAGGAAAACAAGGCAACAATGTGCAAACTCGATTCTTCCCCATATTAGCTCTATGTAAATTCAATCAAAGGACCCTGCACTTCCAGAAGCTGGCAGGATAGTATGGTCTCCAGATATCTATCATCTCCAGGAAAAGTTAATTCCTTTCTGTCAGCTTCTGGGGATGGAGGAGAGGGTAAAGACAAATAGGGTAACTTATTTGTATGTGAGAAAACTCTTAAAGTTTCTAAGTGCGCTCTGAAATCTCAGCATCCTGTTGATTCAAAATTAGTCATCTGGGTCATAAACTGTTCCCAGAATCACATAAGCCAGCCTTTGAAGTCCCGCCCCCTTTGCCATTCTCTATATTGAATTACACTCTTGGTCTTTTTAAGGTGACTCCATTTCTCCCCCTTTCTCTCTAGTCCTGGTGTTAAGGACTCCAGAGCAGTTTTCCTTGGATTGCTGTCACAGTTTTTTAACTGGTCTCCCTCTCTCCAGGATTTAACCCTACAATCCATCTTACAACCTACTTTCAGATCATGTTTCTTACACTCAGAAGCTAAAAAAGCTTAAAAGATGGCAACATTAGCTAGGTATACAGCTAGTATATCACTTTTTTTTTTGGTTTCAGTCTCATTTGAAAGGGAGGGGTTTTAAGAAGATAAGTACTTTTCTAATCTTTATAACGAATTTTAGTAATCTGTAGTCATTTTTCAAAATTTAGATTACTCAGGTTATCCTGATCCTGATTTGCTCAAACTTTTTTTTTTAATGTGCTGTATCAGGTTGCCTGGGCCTGGAGAGAATGTCGGGACACCAGCCTCCAGCTTCCTGGAAGGCTTCCAGCATATAGGGCCATCCTGAGTGTCACTGCTTTCAGCAGCAGCCTGCTCAGAGCATTCAGTCACCATTGCCCTGGCTACTGCCATGGCCTATGTCTGTCCTGAGAGCACAAGGCACCCATGGCTCCCTTGTTGCGATAACACACTTGTACTGGGCCACGTCAGGCTGGGGGGATGGGGAGCGGGAAGGGGAGCCTGGGAGATAGAGGCTCCAGCTGGGGAGGAACTGGCCTGAATTGCTCAATCTTAAATAGACTATAGCCATTTATGATTTTTTTAAAGCTCTACATATAATTCTTATATAACTGACCTGGCATAGGTTTGTCTGCAGATTAGAATCATTAGGAAAAATGATTAGTTATCTTTCAGTTCCTACATTCTAGGTAATCTATTAATGTACTTTTCTTACTCAGGAACATACAATGGCTCCCTATTGCCTTTCAAAAAATGTCTGAACTTTTCAGACAGGTTTTCCTACCTTTCAAAATATATTTATCCATTTTTCCATTAATCTTTCTAAATTATGACTTCACCCTCACCCCCCAAAATTTATTTACTGTATTTACTCTACTCATACTTCCTTGTTTTTGAGATTTTTTTATTTCTTTGATTCTCTCTGTGGTCTTTTTTGAGGGTTTATGTCTTTTCTCATGACATTTAATCTAAGTTTCTAAAATGCAAGAATTGATTGTCTTCTTGCCTTCTTCATGACACTAATACAGCATTTGGCTGTTGAGTAGTAAGTTAAATTCACACTCATGGCTGCTTCTTTGGCCAGGCAGGATGACCTCATTGACTACTGGAATGGAGTCGAGGCATCATTACATAATAGATATGAGAAACTTAAAGACACTAGACAAAAAAAAAAAAGTAAAGTTGCCCAATAAATACAAACAACTGAGTTGGTTGGCCACTGTTAACTAATTAACAACTACAGAGGGAAAAAATTGCTAGCCTAGAGAGAAACAAGGTGTCCTAGGAGCTTATACTTCTGACACTTGGTCTAGTCTGGGAAGACCAGAGAGGAGTCCCTGAAGGAAGTGACATCTAATCTGAGATTTAAAGGATAAATGGAGCAGCGGGGGAACAGGAAGAAATGGGGTAGAAGACTGTCCACATAGACATTCCTAAGTAAGAGCTTTCTAGAAACCGAAAGAAGGACAGAATGTTCAAAATATAATGAGCAAAATGGGTAGAATAGCAGAGAATGAGGATGAATGAGAAGACCTAGATTAGATTAAACTGAGGAGTTTCATGATCAAATCTAGATTTTAGAACACACACTCTGCTTCGTAGTGAAGAACAGGTTTGAAGGGGCAAGAGTAGATTTATAAGGTTCTTGGGGTAATTAATAAAGGAAGGATGTTGGTCTGAAATGGAATAACGAGCAATTGGAAATGAGAGAAGTAGTCAGATTATGCAAATATTTAGCAGATAAAATCAATACAACTTGATGTGAGATGAAAAATAAGTTATTAAGAAGGCAGAAGAGACTCACTATCACCATATTTTACTGGCCTGATGTACTTGGTGGTTAGAGATCATTTACTAATATAGGGAACAAAGCAGGTGGATACAAATGAACAGATCAGCTTTGTGAACATTAGTTTGAGTCTGTGAGATACTGAGAAGCGACGGATATATGAGTCTCAACATTGGTATATACATCTGGGCTGAATCTATAAATTTGGGAGTAATTTATTTATTATTTAAAGCTAATAATAAAGCCATGAGTATCTGTAGGTGACGAAAAGGAGACCTAAGGCACAACCTTTTGTATTGCTTACCATATTTTTCCCCATACCATTCATTCAGTCAACGCTATACCACCTTGTTGAGGGCACAGATAAATGAAATAGAAACCCAGAATTCAGGCTAAATATTCCATATACTAACCTGTATGCTGTTTGCAATTCTTAAAACTCTCTGTTCTAAGATTAGGATACTATGTTGCATCCCAGTGTTTCTGCTACCTCTTTTAAGAAGCATTTATGACCTCACCTGCAGAAATTTACCCAGTCTTCTTTGAGTCCCTGCAATACTTTGTATTCTTTTAAATAACTCTTTACCAAGTATCATGTAATGTAGTTTGATGATTTAAGAGTGGGGGCTCTGAACCCCTGAGTTTAAATCCCTTCTCCCTACTTACTATACACATTGTGTACTATATATACACTTTGGGTCAATTACTTAACTTCCTGTGTCTGTTTGCTTTTTATTATTAATATACCTGTTATATGAAGTTTGGGTGAAATTTAAGTGAGAAGATTCATGCATAGCACTTGGCATTGGTGGGGACCAGTGAATATTAACTATTAATACTGAAGCTGTGCTATAAAAACAGAATTTGAATCCTAATTTGTGTGAGCTGGGGCAAAGTATATACAAAATAGAGAAAATGATGATCTCATTGGATTATTTTGAGTATGGCATATTAATATTTGTATTAGTACAGGGACTTGTAAATAATAAAAATAAAATAATGATGATTTACATTGTTCTATATGTATTCCTTTTTCAATCATGATAAGTAGGCAAGAGATGCTAGCTGTTATTAAGTTAATCGATATTAATTCATGTTTTGTAATTTCATGTTTCTTTCTTTACCCAATAAACATTTATTGAGAGAGTAATTCAAGATAACATGGAAAATGAGGTTGGTGTTTCTGGGCCAAAATTCTTGTTCAATGTCCTGGCACATTTTCTTTAGAAAGTTTCAC